TCAAAATTTTCACACAAAATTGTTTTTAAATTTTTTAGATTTCAAATGATATGATAATTGCTGCAAAAATTTATTCATGAATTAATGGTCCTGGTTGTGTTGCAAGGGAAAAACCTGTAGTTACTCAAAATAGGATATCAGAAGTCAAGAATCAGGAGTTTGAGGCTTTTTTTGCAGATAAAGACAATGTAAGTATGAGCTCTTATAAAGTTGATACTAATACAAACCTTCCAATTCTCTATTTGAAGGATAACAAGCAAGAACTTTGGAAAAAATTCGAGGCTACTTATCCTGATGGAATTAAATGCACATCATTTATGGCACACTTGGCAAGTGGACCATATGTATATTGAAAGGATCTGGGTGGTCTATGCAGTATCTGTGATGATTATTTTTATGAGGTTTTTACTACATTGAATAGCATAATCCATTGGGGTGTCTCACATCATATGATTTACAAACATAGTTGATCACATATATAAATTTTCATTAATAAGGATTTTTTAGGGGTTTTGCGGATTTATTATTATTTTTTTGGTGCCACAAAAAAATTTTTAAATTTATTATACAAATTGGCAAACTTCGCACAATTACAAAACTCAAAATAACTCTTAAAATATATGTCATATTCAAATAAAATTTATGTTTTAGATTCACTTTTTGATGCTCTTTAAACTAATAGAGAGCTTTTTACAATTTTACTTGCATAAAATTTTGTAACATATATTTGCAACTTTTACTTTGATTTTCTAGCTTAAAATAAATGCCATTGTTTATATTAAAATAAAAAAAAGGGCTCTATTACTTTATTGTCCTATTTCTCTAGTATGTTTTAAACTTAACTTGGAGTCAGCATCTCTATTCTTTAAAGAGTTATAATCATTCAAAGTTTACTATTGAAAAAAAGATCGGCAAAAAATTGTCATATATGAAAATTTATATATCGACTATGTTATTATAGGATATTGTCCTTATTTGCATTGCTCTTTTACTTATTTGTAACATGGACAATGTTAATGATGATTATAATTATAGTGATAGTGATAATGATTATGATTATGATAATTTGAACCTACAATCAAACCCTCATTTCAACAAACTTTGTTTCATTTCAATGAATTTTATATTAAATTGTACAATGGATAGTACCAATCATATTATATAAATTTAAAAAATTAAAAAAGGTAAAAGCAAACCAACCTCATGCCAGAAGTTTTGATAATACAAGGGGGCTAGCATTATCTGTCTTGAATGGGCCTAAAGGGTATGTAAGTTGCTCACTAAGGTATCCTGAGAAGCATAAATCATGGTCTAATTATTCACTTGCTTTGAGTAATTTGTTTATAAAAGGCAGATTAATTAAATAAAAGGTTAACAATATTAAAATTGTTTAATTAGTATTAAAGAACATTTGATCCAAATTTCCTAATAATAAAAAAAGATGAATGCAAACAACAACAATAATAAAACAAAATAACACAAACAATAAAGCATGGCAGGGCTTACATGTGGGGTTATCTATAGTGCACATTTGTGATTCAAAAGTTGGAATAAATCATAGAAAAGGACAGATAGATGTCAGCATGATGTGTTACCTATTTTCTGTTCAAATCTGAAGGACCAATTTAAATGATTATCTCATTTAAGTAACTATAAATAATCATTGAATATTGAAAATTATTTTTTAGGATGATCAGTCAAAGTTCAATAGAAAAAGACAAACTGATTACCTACAAATGATCATAGAAAATGATAAAAAGATGATTAGTCAAACAATTGAAATATTAGTTGGATTAGAAAAAAAGAAATTGAACAAATCAGACTTTGATAAAAAACTATGTGAACAGTTCATGCAAAATGTTGTTAAACTGAAGGTAATAATTCATAGATTATTTATGAATGAGACTTTTAAACTAATACAATGATTTAAATTATTAATTAGGAAGAACCTTCAGGATGGATCATCAAAATTGGTAAAAATGAATATGATTTTGTAAAAATCATATGCAATTCATTGATAAATATTAATGCAATGATTCTGGATTTTGATGATCCAATACTATCCTATGTAATTGACCCTTCAGATCAGCAAACCCGTTTGGTCTCTAGCTCAAGGATGAAATAATTTTTGAAATGAAAGATATAGATGAGAGAGCAGTGAGACGAATTAAAGAAATTCCAGATTTTCATAAAGGATTAGATAATACATCAATAGATTATTTGTCATTTATATATTCACATCACCATATGGTGGAAAATCATTTTCCCAAAACCCTCCATACTAATCCATTATACTCTGAACATTATTTTATATGGAAAATGTGTTGTTGTATGTAAGTATTTTTTATTATTATTTGCAATTGCATTCAACTATTATATAGGCATGCTCAATTTTGGTCCAATCCTTGATTATCTGGAATCTATTTAAAGATCAAAATTGGGTAGACATATGTGTATTGATTTAATAATGAATTTTTATGTGAATAGGTTTGAAATGTGGGACAGCTATGATTTTGACTCGGGGCATTTTACATCATTTAATGAAGGAACTTTTGAACTATTAACATATCATCCAATATGCAAGATCTTGCTCAAAAACCTTGATAAATGTGTTTTGTGTGGGTATGTAAAAATTATCTGATTATTTTAGAAGACCATTCCTTAATTTATTGATAATTGTGTGGATATTAATTTTAGTGGGGAAGTTCAACAGCATCAAAATACAGAAAAGATCAACTATCAAAACTTGAAAAAGAATATAGAAATAAAGAAAATGTTAATCCATTTTCAATTAGTAATGTGGGTAATAAGCCTGATTTATGGGTAGAAACAAAAATAGCAGGTCGATTACACGAAATTATTTTCTCGGAAACATCAGGCTCGCCATTCAATGACACAAGTAGTGATGAAAAAATAAAATATGACAGAAAAAAACTAATAAGATTCGCACGTGACACATTCACAAAAATGTGCAATGAATTAATAGAAAATAAAATTAGTTATTTACCCAATTACAAAGAAATATATAAAGCTATTTCCAACATTCAAATATTTTTATTACAAAGTTGTGGTAAGCTGAAATTTATATTTTTTATTGATTATGGAACTTTTGTTATATATCATATATTAACTTACCATAAAATTACTAGGCAAAAGGATGAAAATATACATTGTTGATTTTCCATCCAATTCATTTGGCAGAGTCAGAGAATATTGTGATCTGGAAGTTCCATATAAAAGTATATCAGAAATTGAACTACAAAGATTCATAGGAACCTTGTTTAGAATAAGGGTTCATATGGAAAGCAATATCAAACTCATCAGAAAAATTAGCACTGAACTTTCAAAAAATTTCAATGGAATTCCAGGAAGAGGTCCATCAAGGACAGACATTAGAAAATATTATTCACATCCCTCACCGCCTCACAATAATTAGTTATTAAGATTATAGGATAGTTGGATGTAATATATAAATGATTGTTTAATTTTAATATCACTTAAATTCATAATGCTGAGTTTATTAGAGGTCAGGTTTATATTGGGTCAATATTTACTATTATTATTAACAATTGCACTAAATTTTGATCCCTGAAATCTTTGGTAATACCAATGTTCACTTTGTCTGGTTTTGTTGCAGCATACCCCATATAATATTAGAAATTCTTATAAATAAAATAGTTAGTTTGTACATTAACAAATAAATTATTAAAAATAAAATCCGTTGGCTCCATTGGTTCCAGTGATTCATTGATTCCAGTTTTTCCAATGGTCCCAGTGTTCCATTGGTGTTCCAGACATACATGTTAGCCAAAATTAGTTTTGCACTTGCCAAATCTTTTGGCAACATTCTGGCTTTTCCATATTCCCTATATTAATGGTCATAAAAAAGCCACCAGAGCTTTGGCTATAGTGTCAAAATCTCAGGAATGGTTTTTTGCTCAATTAATTTGGGACTACTATGAAAAACTATTTTGGCATTTTGAATTTGGCAATGATCATTCACTAACAGAAGTAATTTTGGCTAACATGTATGGTTCCAGAAAAAGTCACTGGAATATTGGAATTGGAACTAGAAATTTATTCCAGTAGGTTAAAATTGTTATTATTAACACTAACAATTAATGTTCTTGTTAATATTTAATTGAGTCAGATATCATTATTCCTATTATGTCTTCATTATTATTATGTTATCATTACATAGTTAAACTTGACAATTGATTGAAAGGTATTATTAATATTGATTACTATATTAAAATATAAAGAATTAAATATTTTTTGGTAAAAAGGATGAAATTCCAACTATTGCTCTACTGTTGATGGATGGATATGTAATCTCCATCATATATCTCTCACTTACCTGAATCTATCTAGATACATACCCTGTCGAATGTCTGCAGGCATAGGGGTTGGAAGTGGAATTAAAAAGCATGCAAAACGAGGGGTGAGGAAAAATGAGAGACAGCACAGAAGATATTGTCTGTGGGAATGACAAATGAATATAGATCTTCAAAAACCTGTTCCTATTGTTTCAACAAGTATGATTAGCTCATTCTCAGTGCAACATTGAGGGCAAGATTCAAAACACATGCACATATTTCCTTTAAGTGTGGCTATACATTTAAGCCCAGAGATGTAAGTGCTTCTGTCTGCATTGCAATTGCTGATGCCTCCAATTTCCTTCCTTCTTCAAGTACAAGATCCTGTGCACCAGAAAAATTACTCACATTTCCAATACTGAATAATAGAAGTCCTCTATACCCAGAAGGAATTAATTGGTTTAATAAATAATTGACCAACTGGTCAACTAGTAGTTGATCAAGGGTTTTTTGACTAATTCCCAATCTCTAACTTAGAAAAAACAATTATTGAAGTTAGATACACAGAAATTCGTTATTTTCTATTTTTTTACAACTATATTTGTAATATTTTATTCAAAAAGAATATACAATCATCATCATCAATGATAATTAATTACATTATTTGAAATTGTGGCAACTTGTTTAAGATCTAAATGATTGATCACCATGTAATAGATGTTTTTACCAAATCCATTGCTGCAAATCTAAAGGCCACTCATTCACTTATTTTAGATGAAATTCCAGAAAACTCCAGTTTTAGGGACTTGTGAGACCCTTTTTTTAAAAAAAAAGATTTGTTCAATTCAAAAGATTAAATTGGGTTTTTGGAACATCAATCCTTCATTTATTTGTAAAATTAAAAAAGAAATGTAATAACTATTATTATTAATTTAAAATATATTATTTCAGATAGACTTATCATTATTTTCTAGATTTTTTCAGAAACATCAAGAATTTTCAATCCTAAACCTTTATTTAAAGTTTGATTTAATATACTTTTTAATTTCTCATTATCATTTTTTAAATTTTCAAAATTTATTCTCATTTGCTCTTGATCATTTTCATACATGTCAATATTTGAATTTATTTCTGATATCTCTTCCCTTAGTTTTTCTATTGTAGTATCCAAATGATTTTGACGTTCCTTTGAATTTTTATATGATCTTTTTTTTTATAAAATAAGAAATTATATATGTGTTGTAATATATATTAATTAAAATTCATTAAAACCAACCTCCTCTGTTCCCATATAATTAAAGAACCAGCAACTCCAAATACAATAGATTCACCCAGAAAATTTGCTCCAATTTCTACAGCTCTTTTTAAATTAAATTGGAAATTAATAACAATTGAATATTGATTATAATAATATCAATCAATATTTTATTTTCTCTTTTACTTTTTATCATTCAATGGTCTAAATTTTTCGCTTTTTTGACCCAAAAGATTCATTTTTAATTTTATTTCAAGTCTGTGTGTTGCCTTTTTATTAAAGATTAATTAGCATATTATTTTTAATTTAAATTTGCTCTTTAAATTACCTGAGCAATATTTATACATATTTGTTTAAAGTATGGATGTCGTTTGCTATACTCCTAAAAAATACCAATTATTAATAATTAATAATGGCGGTGATTAATGGTTATTGCTAAACAGTTCATTATATACAAACTTTTATACTACTGGCTATAGGCTTAGCGATGGTTCTTATAAGAAGAATTCCTAATTTTGCAGCACTCATTAGATTTATATAATATTAGATTTAAAATTATCTGTGACAAAAAAAGAAGCTACGCAGTGAGACTCGATTTAACAGAATGTCCCGAAAATTTATTCGTTAAATCGAGATATCCCTAATAAAGACAAAGGTTTTTATTTTTAAATCACTATATGATATCAATCGTTTTATAATGAGTGTTTCTATTCTGTGTTTTATTTTGATCTCTCGTTTTTTTTAATCGTCCATATAATATAATTGGGATTAGGTAAGTGCTGTGGTTGATTTTTTTTGTTGGATTCTTTGCATGCTCGTCAGGATCTCTTAACCTCTAATATATATTTTCTTAGTCTGCTTTCTTGTAGATAGATAAGTTTTCTTTTCTAAATGGCGCAAGGTTGACTTTTACAATTCTGGGATGTCTTCTTACAGTGAGACACCTACCCAAAATGAAAGTAAACTGCAAAACCAAGATTTTCTTTGACTAATGTTTTTAAGTACTACTAAGTTTACAAATGTTCTCTCACAGTTTATATATTGGATAACTCTGAGATACATACGAGTTCAATATTATATGTGCCTATCTATTTTAGATACTTATTTCATCATAAAGTTTATATTTTAAATATTTAGAAATTAATTAATTGCTTTTATTTATACAGGTATAATATACATACATGGCGATAAATTAAGACGAAACGAGAGTAATAAAGATACAGCTCGGTTCTCCTTAATTCCCTGTATTGAAATTTTTTATGCTCTAAATCAAAGGAAGTGATAGTAATTGATTGAACATGCGAAAAATACTTTTAAAAAAACTCATAAAAGTATCCGCTGAATTCAATCTAATTATTTATATTAATATAAATGGCACATATACACTCCCTGGACAAAAGTTTCGGTCACCACAAAACAATTAATTACGCAAAAACGTACATAATAAAACACAAATAAATTTCATCAAATTGTGATTAAAGTTCTCAAGAATATGTATGCAAAATTTCAAATTTTTGTAATGTTTGGGATAAAAAGTTCAACCAAAAATAATTTTTTGGAAATGATCTCCAAAATTTTGATTTTATTTGCAAGTATCTTATATCACTTCTCAAAAAAAAAACGCGCGTAATAACCACACCCGAAATTTTACTTATTTGTATGCAAGTCAACACTTTGTTGGCCGCCCATTATTGGATATAACAGCTTCTATTCTTCTCGGCATACTTTCTATCAAATTCATATAAATATTTCTAGGAATTTGATTCTTCATGTAAAGCGGTCTCAAGTTCAACATTATTTTTAAATTTATTTGGACGTTTCCGAATACGAATTTCTAATTGATTCGTTTGATAATTACGAATAGGAATAGAAATTTAAAAATATTTAGCACATATGGGGGCGTGGGAAAATAGAAATAGACCATGGTTGTGAAAAAAAAGCACCTTTGAGTTAAAGGTATAGTAAATTACTTTTAATTTTCTTATATGCAATTCGTCACAAAGATTAATTCTATATAGTAATAGGCAGGAATGTGTTTTCAGACCATTTTTATGTGATCACAAACCACTTTGCACATGACATATTTCCCACCGATCTATAACAAAAATCTTCGACAACTTCATCTTCAACAACGACATTAACAACCCAACAACAACACTAAAAACAAAGCAACAATGACCTGGTGGTCAATAAACACGAGAATGAGTTTGATTTCAAGGATGATAGCTCCTTGAAACTACCAGTTCGTTGAAGCTGGAAAAAGTTATCGATATCCAAAAATATTATAATTCGAAAAGCCATACTGACACTCAAGAGGTGCCCACTAAAGGTAAATATATTTATCCGTTTTTTTTCGAATTATTATTGTTAGTTATTTTTTTATTGAAAAATCAATATTTAATTGGTATCTTTATCATCATCCCATCAAACTATCAGAACAACTGGTCCGATGAAAAAGACTTTCAGCCTGAATATATTAAAAAATAAAGAATAGTGGTAGCGATGAAATCCGGGCACTCAACAATTTTTGAAAGAGGAGGATAAGTCAAATCTTGATATTTGTTTATTAATAAAAGTTAGAAATATATAGATTAAATAATGTCTTCGATGTATATTAATTAAATCATTCATTCATTACTTTGATAATGAAAGATTACACATTTAAAAATTTTTTTTTAACTACACACTCCAGAAGCTAAAATAAACTAATTCAATTTAATAATTAACGAACAACTTGATTATAAATATAATACATAAAATCTCATTTACCTGAATTATTCTCTATATTATTAAATTATCTAGTACCATCTGGCATTAATCCCTTTTCTTTTAACCTAATTATATAGATAGATACATTAGTAAATTAATAGAGGATTATTAATATAGAATAATTCAAAAATAACTACCATTGGTTTGGTGATAAGGATGCCTATAATCAATCCAAGAATTGTTATTAACAATGTTCCTTTACTGAAATCTTCACTTAGTACATCAAATGTTTTTGATGGTGCTTCTCTTGTGAACCACAAATCCAAACCATACGCAAGCACAAGTGATGTCGACTCTAGTAAAGCTGGTGATGTTATAATCCGTTTAACACCAGCAACCTAAAAATCAACAATAGGCCTTTTAGATTATATATGTATAAATATATATAAATATAAAAAGATCGTTTAAAATTGTCATACACTTAAATAATAGCTTAGTATAAATTTTTTATTATCTGGGATTGCAGGGTCATATGGGATAAGCATTTCTTCTTTATCCTCACTAGTTAAAGCATGCAGAGGTCTTCTAGGATCCAATATTCTCTTAGATAAACCAAGTATTTGATCAGTATCCAATGCAACTGTTGTTATCATTAAAACTGCGTGTTAATTAATAATAAGACAATATTGATAATAAATTATTTAAATTTCAAAAAGATTCACATAGAAATTCTCTTATCGCTATTCCATTCTTCGTAGTAGTAACACCGATAGTTTTAACACCATATGGCAACATAAATGCTTGTGCATTTACATAAGGACGTTCATGCGAAAATGATGAAAAAACAGGACTAATAATATTGGATAGAATAAATTTTAATAAACATAAAATAGACATAAGATAAATGTGGCTTGGATGATGGCGATGATGATTATTTTAACACATACCTATTTATTCTTTCATCTTTTTTTTCACTTTCATAAAAATCATAAACAACTACTTGATAACCTTTTGTTGATTCATTTTCACTCCAAAATACATATAAAACAGTATTTTCTACTTGAACAATATTTATTGGATGTATTTTCCCAACATTTTCATGTTTATATTGATACAATATCGATCCCTTAACTATATCTATCAAATATATATTTAATGTTGCAGTTGAGGATTCTGATGATGATAATGTGGCGACTGCAACCAAATGTGGATTTAGATATTTGTATAGAACTGATCGATCACCAAGAACACGGCCAAGTGATGCAACTTTTTCTTTTATCGCAATAAATAAATAAGTAAATAGTAAATAATAATTCAAGCATGCTTTTAGCAATAAATGAAATAAATTGTGAAAATCGCTAATTAAAAAACCAGTTAACAATCAATGACTTAATTTACCATATTGAGGTCTATGACCAATTGCAGAAATCTTTTCATCATCTGGAAAATGGATATTCCAAACTTCGGATATGTCAAAATGTTGAAGCTGTTATTTATTAAAGAGTTAATAATATATTATAAAAATATTCAAATTCTAAACATGTTTACACAAACCTCATCACTAATGTTGGCATTAACACTGTAACCTTTTAATCCTTCTGAGTGAATAGTATTCTCAGATAATGTAAAATAAAATGAAGGAGTGAAATTTTTAAATGCTTTCCTAGAGTTTTTATGATTTGGATATAAATGAAGCTATAGATATCGTAACAAGTATTGTGATTAGAAAAACTTTATAATATAATAATATTTAGATGATTTTCTTGACTAACTTTTGAATCATCATCAATTACTGCAATAATATGCATCCTCTCATCAGGTTCTTCAACTGGTAGTTTAAATATACGACGAGAAATGCCTGATATTGAGTAAATAGGAGGATAATTTTCTACATGTTCGTTAGATATAAAATCTTCCCCAGTAAGAGCATTTAGTCTGATAAATTTAATGTGGTAACTTTCCTAAATAAATTGTATTAAATAAATGCGGATAAATATATTGGATGTCAAGGCATACACACATACACACATATATATATATTAACATTTTATATTTACCTCTTTAATCTGGTGTCCAATGGCAACAATAACTGGTGGATATTTAACTGTTGATGAACGAACAACTATTAATTTTTCAAATGAGCGTATTTCCTTGCCAAAATAACGCGACCAAACAATCTGGCCCTTATTTCCAGTGTCTAAAGCTACTAATTTATTTTTTGTTAGGAAAATAAGCAATTTACGAAAACCAAATGTGTCCCTGTAAAGAATAGGTTTTCCTTTATCGTCTTTAGAAATAGGTTCTACAGAATAGTCACCAGTAACAAATCTTTGTACATATGTAGTCAAATAAGCTGGTAAGTCCTAATTTATTAAATGGCAGATAAAAAACTTAATTAATTGGAATTTCTTAAAGATAACAAACAAAATCCATAATAACTGAGGATCAAAAAAACAAGCAATTAATTAATGATTAATTACTTTAAGTTGTTCTATATGCTTAAATAATCTTTTAAAATAGCGGGTCAATGGATTAAAAGATTCAGTTTCTTCCGGTTGTTCAGCTTTATAATTATAATTATTGTTATTTTTTTAAATTAAAAAAGTTAAATTAAAAAAATATATATTTAAAGTACATTTTTCTAAATATTACCAAGTTCATCAGTTTCTTGTGTCCATAGTTTTCTTTCAGGCAAATCAATAAATTCAACTTGTATGGTGTGTGCAAGAGATTCTTCTCTCTCCCAAATAACATTGTTTTCTTTTAAAAAATGAATAGATCCATCAGCTGAAATTGCAAGCATACGATATGCAACAGATAATTTTTCAGTGTTGTTTTTAGGAATTATTACATCAATCATAGACTGTTTCATTTGATTTTAGAAATTGTTTTAATTAAACATATATAATCATGTAATCAAATAATGTATGAAAAAATTTTAAATACATTTGCAAGCTCCCCCGAGGATGAAATTGAATATGAAATTTCATGATTACTTGATACCGATTGTGAGGCAGGATCAATAATTTCGACTTTAATGATATCCTATTAACATGATGCAATAAATGTAAATTTTATAAAATTAATCATTATATATATTGTTAGATAAAAAAGTTAAAGAATACCATTTTATGAGATTTAAAAAGAAATACACTTGAAAAATACCTTTGAAGCTGCCCAACTCCTAGAAATTATAAGACGATTGCTTTTATCAATAGCACCAGCATAAATGGAATTCCCTTTCTGCAAATTTAACAAATCATTAAAATTAACATTTAATAATAATTTTGCGAATTAATAAAAAAAAATTTTACCTTTGCTTTCATATCATAAAGAACTGTCACTGTCAATTTGCCATCTTTTGGATCAACGGTTAAAACAGCAGAAGAACTATAGCCATCTTTTGTTAATGTTTCAATAAGAAATTCATTTCTTGAATTTAAGTTTAAATCGACAAATCTAATATCTTTAGCTTTAGTGTTTGCAGGGAATGATGGCATGACTTTTTCATAAAGCGACTAGGAAAAAAAAATTTTTTTTTAATGAGAATAATAAAATTAACATGAATGCATGAATTGATTAAAAAATAAAATAACCTTGTCTAAAGAAGCTTGTTCAATATTGCTAGTACCTAAACGATTAACTCGAATTCGTTCACCTTCTTTCCAAACAATAAATCCATCATTTGAACCACCACCCAGTATAATCATATCATCCTTATGAGCAAGGCTTGAAGAAAGAATCTTCGAATTCGCAGCACCACTCTTTACATCAAAAGACATTGTTCCAATCGAATACGATTTGAATCCTTTTTTTAGACCAATTGCATATATCTTCTGGTCATGTTTAATTAGTTTATAAAATGTCATGGAGGAACTGTCAGAAAAAAAAATTTTTTTAATATATTAATAATGTTGAATGTTAAATATCAAAATATAAATACATACATATATATATTAATTGAATAAAAAAAAACACCTGTCTAAGGAACCCGATTTCCAAATAAGATTGCCATTAGTAATGTTCAAGCTTATTATAGTGGATCCTTCAATCAACACAATAACACTAGAACCATCCTTTTCGAAAACAATATCACAGCCTGGAGAATCATCAGAGTACTGATTATTTGTTGGATCAAATTCCGGGTTTTTTAATGCTTGTTCCCACAATAAAAAACCAGTTTGAAGATTCCATAAACGAATATTAAATCCATGGTGTTGCGAAATAGATAATCCAACTAACAATTTCCAAAACATAAATTGTTTTTGTGAATAAATTCAAAACTTCAATAAATATAATTACATATGTATAATTATATTTGGATAAATGATAACTAAATTACTAACCTTCTTCGTAACCTTTAAAGGCTAATATGGGCTCGTCTTCTTTAAAAAGTTGGCGCCATTCTAGATAAACAAATGTATTACAGTTAATGAGCCTGACGGAAGGATCATAATTCTCTTGGGAAGATTGATTGTAAATACAAACCAATATTTCCACTTCGAGGATTAAGAGAGGCTATTACATTACGATCTGTTGCTAAAAGTATAGTTGTTGCTCTAGAAGGTATTCTATGGAAGAAAGAAAATTTTGGTTTACCAATGTACTGTTGATGCCTAAAAAAAAAATAAATTAACTAAATTAATCAATTAATTATGATTATTTGTAAACTTTTAGCCTTTTACCAATCAATTGTTCCAGCTTGTGATTCATATAAGCCAAATACTAATTCTAAATTTAATGCTAATAACAAGAAAAGAATTGATATATTTTTCATTTAGATTTATTTTATGTGATTTCAATTTTTTTTCTAAAAAATTTTTTTATTTGAAATGAAGATAGCGCGTAATATATGGTTACATCAATTTGATTTAATTATAAAAAATTTATTTCTCCTTCCAACAACTTTTAAACTTTCTCAAACTGTATTACATTGTAACGATTGAAGAGTCAAGGACTCTCACCTCTTAGACTCTTTGATATATGGATGGACACGTCTTAAAGAGTCAGAATTTTGAGAATTCGAGGAAACAATACATGCGAAAACTGATTTTTCTGTAATTTCTGGTTCGATAACAAAATTCGAAATTTTTATACCTAGTATAATGCTAACGTAGGTTATTTCATATATATCAAAATCTTTATAATAATTCTCTAAGAAAAAAGCCTGCTTAGTTATTATTTGGGCAAAACACAAATGCCGAAGCCTTCTTTAACAGGCGTACTTGGTTTTGGTTTTAATGGAGAATTCAGCTGATTTGATTATAAGTTATAAGGGTATCTATACAAACAACAAACTATCTTATGGCAATGATTATTAATTTCAATTGGTTATTTTTTGTAAATATATATTGTTCGGCAGCTCTACTACATCTTTAATTAAATAGTTTTTTTTAATATCAAAAATAATATTTAGTAAGTAACAAGCAAATTGTTCAACATTAAACATCAATCTTCTTTTTCTCTTCAATTTTTTTCACAATATTTTTTGCTGTGTTAAATATACCATTTGTTGCTGTACCACAAGCAAAACAGTTTGGACTTTTAGAAAAATTTTGTAAAGCGCACTTTTCACAAAAATAATGACCACACCTATTAACAGATATATACAAAATTAATTTACAATATAAAGTAAAGAAAGTAATAAAGGAAATTTTTTTTTACTTTGTTACAACGGGATTTTTAAATTCATTTCGACAAATCAAACAAGCAAATGGTAATTCTTCATCGCTTTCATCGCCACTACTCTCCACAACGAATGCATTTGGATCTTTTTTTGATTTGCCTTGCACTTCTTCCCATTCTTTCTCCAATTGCCATCCAGTTTTATAATCCCCTCGATCATGTAAAAATTTACAAGAATCACCATAACCACAATATCCAGTTTCTAAAAATTAAAGAATAAATCCTAATAATCTTTTAATCAAGTCTCCTTTTTTGTTTAAATTTTATTAATTTTATATAATAAATCACCTTTATAATCTTTACATACATCTGGTTGATAATCAAACCTTGAAGTTACTCTAATATTTGTTGGAGCTCTTATTGGACCAGCTCTACATTTTATTTTATTTTTAGCAAAACAATTATAAAATCGAATCACAAATGCAATAGCAACAACAATAAAAATAAAATAATATTTACTTTATTTTTGAACTTGCAGCATTTCCAGCAACAGTATCTCGTTTTTTAACATACGATTTATAAGCATTTTGTCCTTTATAAACATTATCATCATCTCCATCATCATCAGCCTATATATGTATGTATACATTAACAAATTAACAATAACAACAATTCAGTTTTGTTACCGTTACCTCTTCAGCTGCCAATTTTTTTTCCAATAAAGATTGAGCATCGCGATCAGTCTCAGTATCCCATTCTGCTGTTCTCGTAGCAACATCCTCAGGTACCGAAGACATTGCTGATCTGTTTGCTGAGTATGTGACGTTGACTTCTGCTGAAGTTTTATTTTTTTTGTTATTTTGTATAAAAGGATTTGAAGAGTCGAATTTACGTTCCTTTGTCACTATTATTGGTGTTTCCTCTTCCTCTTCTTCTGCTGTTGCCTTTTCTTCATCATCTTTCTTTTTTCGTTTTCTGATGTTTTTATTGGTAGTTTTTTTCTTGAAGAATTGAACGTTATCTGTTTTATTGTTTATTTCTTCTAATTTTTGATTATCTTCAGACATTTTTTTAATTAAACAATTTATTATTATTATTATGTTGAAATTTAGATCTTCACAAATATGTGTAACCGCATTATAGTTAAGTGTAACGGATTTTTCTAATATTAAGTATTAGTATTAGTATATACAAAATGTCGGGTTTTTACCAAAATTTGAAAGGAACACTTTACATAATAGTACTTTTCTGACCCGTATGTTTTACGTCACGAAGATTTCAAGTCGATCATTACTTTTAAATAAGTGCAAAATGTCAACGAAAAATAAGTAATTTGAATTTAGTAATGTGTCGGGAAAATAAAGTAATTTGATTAGTAATATGTCACGAAAAACAGAGTAATGAGTTTGTCGTGAAAAATTGAATTTAGCAATGTGTCGCAAAAAGGTTACTAATTTCTTCTTATAAATATAAGAGCTAGGAAATGCATTAAAAAATCCATTTCAGCTAAAAATTAATTTCCTAATATTAAATAAAAAAATAAAAATGTCATCAATCAAAAACAATTTTGTGAATTTTATGAAAGAAATCCATCATTCACATATAAAGAACTTGGTCAAAAATATGGGGTGTTGGGGTCTGTATAAAATAGTGTAATAAAATATTTAATAACAAAATTGTTCCAAATATTATTATTATTATTATGCAGAATCCTCTAATTGTCCAAATTTTACATTTTATGAATATCCTGAGGTACAATTTCCAAAAAATTGAAGCTACACTCATAAATCAGCTGTTTTGCCTATTATTATTGCCTCTATCTTTCTCTACCTCTGACTCTGCTGCTGCTATTATGTCCATTTATACCGTTTCTGTTTTGTCGCCATCATTTCCAGTGCTGTAAGAAATAACAATGTTATTGAATCATCATCTGCTATTACTATAATAAATTGTTAAATAAGAACAGCACTTCCTCCGGTTCTTTTGCAATATGTGACAACGATAAAAGTGATTTGAAAGTTATGCCACTTGTTCAAAGAAGATGAGAAATCAAAGGAATGCACAACATTCAATCAATATTTTTAAAAAAAGCCATTTTAGTGTCCATTCAAATTATTAATAAAATCAATACAATTTGGATCACATATTTTCAAAAGCTGTGATAAAGTTGACGCAAACTGAAGCGAGGTGAAATATTCAGAAAGAAAAAATTTGCAAAATGAGAGAGTAATAATATATATAAAGAAGAGAACATTAAAGAAAAATTATATATCGGGAGAAAACAAACGTCAACTTTCACAGTTGTCCCATAATTCATTTATTCAACAATTGTGCCAGAACATGATAATGTCTGTGAAAATTTGTTTAAAAAAGAATAAATAAATATAAGTTACCTCATGAGTTATTGTTGTAATTAATCGTTTTAATATAAAATTGAAAGTAAGACTCTGAATTATTCGATTCGTGAATGTAACTCGATCCGATTTGATTCGAATTTGCGAATCATAATGAAATCGTGACGGGGACAAACAAAAGCTTTTACCCGAGTTTGAAACACATTAGGACAACTTTTACTTAGTGTTTACTTGGTGACTTTTGAATAATTAATGGTAAAAGAGCTTTTGTCAAACGATTCACTTATTTTTTTTTGAGTTGATATTATAAATGAAATATATAATAATAATACAATTTTAAATTTAAAATATTTTAAATTCAGTTATAAGTAGTAGATCATTATTCAATTTGAATTCCGCTGACTCATTCGGATTCTTACTTGAAAACATTACATAGCCGGTTTTCTCATCACTATGTTGGAAACAAGCAGAGGCCGAAAATCATGAATACAGTATAATAAATTGTGCTACATCTTGGTCACCCTATGAATTTTACATATTAATATATTAATAATATCATTTAGATTAATATTTGAACCAAAATAATTTTAATTTACAAGAATCATGTATTGGATAAAAAGATCAAAGAAATATTCTCTTGAAGCAACATCCAACAGGTGATTTAGGGGAATAGACTTCATTTTTGCAATCTAATGGGCCTGAACAACAAATGTAACAGAGAATTTTTTAAATTTAATTTTCCAGATTAAATTTGGATTTGTTTTGATCAACAAAAATAAAAAATCTTTTGTAAAATGGAAACCTCAGAAAATTTAAGTTTTGAGAAACAGAGAGCAGCTTTGATTAAAACTTTTCTTCAGGTGAAATTTATTATCAATGAATATATGAAGATTAGTAAATCTTTATTGGACGCACTATATTTATTTATTTATTTTTTTAAAAAACAGGGCTTAGAAAAAACAAACGCGAACCTTTCCACCTTGAATAAAAACCTTGAAAATATTACATCAGTTGGAAAAGATTTTGAAAAGATTTCAATGCTTTGGAACAATTTCAATGAAGAAATTACAAGCAATAACAACAACAATAGCAATAACATTATTAATGACAAATAAACAATATTATTTTATTCTATTTTATTTTTTTACATGTTGAGAAAACAAATAAATAATTAAAATACATAACTGACTTTTTGCTTTTACTCTACCTTCATTAAATTTGATATCATTCACTATCTCCTATGAATGTTTCTATCTTTCTTTTGTGTAATTCAGGAATATAGCTCTTTACGCTTCCTCCTCCCCTGGTTATATTCTTTTTCAGTAGCAGGTCCCATAGTTCTTTTTATAACTTCTGAGATAGCTATAGGTTGTCCATTCTTGATTACTTTTTGAAGCGATTTTCTTTAACTTGTATCTGAAATATCACAAGGGAAACAATTGATAATTATATCTTTGGTATAATCTAACGAGGAGGTGTCATAATCATTATACTTGTAAATCTAACAGATATGGAATCAAAAAATTTATCAGATGTTATAAAATTACTTGTAAATACTTCATTATAATGAATATACCCACCCACATCTATTAGCTCTATAACTGCGCGGATAAATGTTTTACTGCTATAAAAGATCGTAATTGATCAATTCCCTGGCTGCAACTACTAATAAATTAGCTTGGCCATTCAGAGAAAAAGAATATTTTAATATTTAATTGAACCCAAAAAATTTATTAAAAAAAAAAATTAGATATAGCATATGAGATAAAAAATCAACATAAAAAAATAATAAACAAGCTGATCCAAAAGAAAATTTCAAGTCTTGCCTTCTCAAACTGGTATAATTCGAAAATACATATCACATAACTTAACACAAAAATATTATTAAAAAACATTATATAAATATATAATTTTCTTTTTTATTAGAAAATATATTTGAATAATTCACTCGCGATAAAATTAATCATTTCACTTGGGGAAAGGCAATAAAAGCTATTTGTTGTTATTTTTTGAATTTGAAATAATTTCTTACTTTTTCAATAAATAATAATATACAAAGATCCTTTTTTTTGGTAAATCTAATATTAACCCCGCATTTTGCTATACTATTAAATGTACCCAATTCATCAATTCCTTCTCAATCATCATCATATAGTATGAATTTGCAAACATTAAAATTAGATAATATACCTGAAAGTTCATTTAACAATAATCAAGAATTAGCTACAGGGCGTCCTGTGTCTGATGTATGGTTACACTTCTATTTATTCAAGAGAATAGTGACGATAACATAATAATAAAGAGACATAAGTTAATTCGCAATTTGTGACAAACGGAAAGAGTTGAGTTAGAATTTGACATCATGAATTTTATTTAAAATCTACAAAATATTTGGTTTATTTTATTGTATCGTTGTTTTCGCCACTTTCATCACTTTCGTCAAATTACTCAAATCCTATTTCGTCACCCAAGCTTGATATATAACCTTCGTGATCTTGTAAAGAAAAATTAATATATATAATTTTTCTCGTGGGATCAGATAGCTAACTTGACAAACCTTCATGATCCCATTAAAAAATACAAATCACAAAAAAAAATGATAATGAAGTTCCTGAGGTTGTGGTGGTGAATAATATTTGATTCTTTTTTTTAAAAAAAGGAATGATGGTAACAACAATCCTTTTTTTTAAAAAAAATAATAATGGGTCACAAGTTGTGCACCTGCTTTATAAGAACCTTGAAAATAACTCACATTGAGACAAGACATTCTTAATTTTTCAACAATGTCTGAACAAACTAAGTTTACATGATATGTGAACATTGTTCTGTAATTATTTTTTTTTTCTAGTTACATGTAGCTTGCACCATCACTAACAACAGCAGAGAATCTTTATGGTCCAATTTCTTCAAGAATTCTTCACCAAAAAATGCACCAGTCTGAGAATAATGTGAAAAATCCTTAATTGAATGAACAAATTGTTTTCGTAATGGAATGACAATCTCTTGAAACCTCTTTATCTATCAACATTGTACTCAATGTCTTATTATCTGATGGATTATAAGCAGGGTCAAATTTTTAATGAAATCCCAAAAAAAAAAACACATTTTCAACTATTGCAAATGGTATGCCACAACACACAAAAAATTTTGTTAATGCATTACCACACAATTTTGATTTCCCTTGGCTTATATTACATTTTTGAAAATTTTTATTGGTTATTCTTGGCTGTACACCACTAGCAATTTCTAAATCTAATAGTTCTTTAGAGGAATTGTTTTCACTCCACATTTCTCAGTTTTGTCGAGTACAATTATTTTCAATCAAATTTCAGTATTATTGTTACTATAATTTTCTTCGGTTATTCAAGTAATATTGAGTTTTTGCTTCTATTTTTAATTGTGAATTTTTTCTAATTCTTTAAATTCTTCAACTCCGATTATTAGAAAACCTCAAATATAATAATATAATAGGAAATTTGATGTTAATATAATATTAATATTAAGGATTTTTTCATCCAGATTGGTAACGAGTTAACCCGCTAAAATATATTATTATTATTATTATACAATACAATGCCCGTATGTGGGAATGAAATGAGTGGATTCCAACCAAATTTGGGAGATTGTTTGCAGCAGTAGGTCAAATAAAATAATTAATAAGCGAAAGTGAGTCTTACAATGCTATTTTTTTTTGCTTCTATATAACTAAAAATTGATTGATTTTTACTTTATTTATTATCAATTTCGAGTTACACGTGTTAGTTTGTATTACATAAAAATGTGCAAGTTCAGATAATTATAGAAAAAAAATCCATCCTTTTGAAATATGAAATTTTTTGTTATACCTTTATTTAAAAATCAATTAACATATTATTGTCTCAGTAATTTTGATAAACCACCAACTTATCTATCAAAAGCATCAGATTTAGCTGCAAGAAAATGGAAAGAGTTATCATACGCAGAGAAAAAAAGTATAAAAGGTCGAGTTTATAATGCTGGTCAGAAATTATTGGATAGAATGGATTATCAAGAATATTTTCTAAAAAGTATACCAATTCGTGAAGGAAGAGTAGTAGATGGTGATGTTAATAAAGATGATAAAAGTAAAGTAAGTTTATTATTATTTAATTATAAAGATAGTAAAAGAAAAAGAAATAGAGATAGAGATAGAGAGAAAGAGGAGCATTGTCTTTTCATATACACAAATAAAACGAATAGAAAAAGGAAAAGAAAGAAAAACACATAATACAAGTATTAATTAATTTATTAATTTCTTCCCTCCCCTCCCTCCTCCTTCTCATCTTACCTCTCTCTTTCTCAGGTACCGTTACTATATCCTTCTAAAGTGGTAACACCAAATCAAATCATTTTAAATATTGAACAATTATTAGAAAGAAAAATACCGTATCATCGTAGATATATGATTTATTCTGGTTTATGTTTGCCTTTATCTGCAACTTTTACTCTAGTTCCTATATTACCAAACATTCCTTTGTTTTATAACCTTTTTAGATTATACAGTCATTACAAAGGTATTTATTTAAATTTTTTATATATGTATGTGTGTGAAGAAGATTTCTTGGGAGCGAAAAAGAAATAATTTGTTTTGTTGTTTGTCTATCTATCTGTTGATTTGATTGATTCCTTGATTGATTAATTAACACATCTCATCCTTCCTCCCCCCCAAAAAATATCAGCATATAAAGGAGCAACACATCTTCAACATATTATTAACGACAAGAGACTTGTCCCGACTGATTCAAATAAATTAAATCTAATTTATAACGATCTAGATTTAGATAAATCTATAATTGACGAAGATACGATTCGTCGAATTTCCAAAGCTCTTGGTATTTCTGTTTTGGAAGTTGAGATGAAAAGAGCAAGGCATCAAATTTTAGAAAGACTTCAAAAAGATAATAAATCATGATGGTGATAAAAAAGCTTGAGATAATAAACAATTAACTGTTAATTATAATTATTAAATAAATAGATGGATAGATAGATAATTAGTTAATTAATTAATATTAGACATGATATTATTACTCGTGATTGGTAATGTGTTGTAATTATTAATTTTATATATGTAAATTTAATATTTTCATTAATAAGTAAATTTTGCCTATGTCAATATTTCCCATAATAAACAACACTAGTATAGTGCAAGTCACTTACTTAATCCAGTGCAAAAGTGTTTAAGATATTAATCTGTGGCAAAATAATTAATGTGAGAGTGTATGTGTTCGCTTGTAATGGATGTATGGTTAGTAGAGCACAACAAACCTTTTTCATTTGATAATACCAAGAATGACAAACGACGGTTAAGATAACGTTTATTTTAACGTCAATAGGTAACGATGTATTTTGTTTACACATTTGCTTTGATTAATATATGTTAGATATTACATTGTAAATTAAAAAGTATATGGAGAAAAAAGAGAACTTGGTTTTTTATATGCAACTAATACTAAGGATTCTTTCGACTAGTTCAATCGATCAGTTATGGTAGCACTCGATAAATATTAGTTATCTCAAATCTGTATTTAATTCAGAACAATGTTGGCGATCTATTATCAATGACCAGGGCCCTACCTGGCATATTCATACAACGCACTGGTACTAATTTATTGTCAAAATAGCATATAGACTCGTAAAACCATGTGACCATGGAACCAATTCAAGATATATTAAAGAATCCGACTAAGAGACTTTTCAAAAAATTGGATGATAACTCACACCATGAAGAAATTGAAATTGAAGGGTTATGGTTCGATTAGTAGCATATAATGTTATTAGATAAACTTGACGAGTACAATTATTATCACACCAAAATATGGATTATACTCTAGAGGATAAAAAGTGCAATTCTGAAATCGACAGAATCATTGATGATAAAAAGAAAATGTTAATTAAGGAAATTTCTAGGGAGGAATGATTCATTTGATGAAAAACAATCTGTCAAAATTAGAGTTGCAGTTTATGAAAGTGACGAAGATGAGAGGAAGGAGAAAAAGAAAGTTAGCTGTGAATCAAGTTCTCTCATCAGTTCATCAACAAACAATGAAGTTGAAAATTATTGGGACACTGGAGGATGAGTTTTAGCGAAGAATTAAAATTTTTGTTGAATTCATAAATCAAATTTTCAACTTTCTTGAACTAATATTGAACATATTTCTCTCATGCCCCTTTTTTTTCATGTCTCCAAATAGAAGTATGAGAAATCGATATATTATGCTTTTCCTGGGCTAATAAAGAAAGATGACGGGTTGTTAAAGCAGAATTATGACGAATATGTTGACCCAAGGAACGTGAAAGAGTTTGTGTAACCTTCGATGGTCTACCACTACTTTGTTTACCTTCAATGGTACCCGTTTCTCTAAGCTTTTGGAGGTTACGTTTGATAGTACGCAAGGGAATGTTTGTTCTTTGATATATTTCTTTAGCCGAACGAATTTTCATTGAGCCAAAAATGCAAAATAGTTTTACATTGTGTTTCAAGCTTTGTATTAACCATGTTTTTATAGATTTTAAGTAGCAAAAGTGAAAATAACAATAAATTTTTATCTATTTACGTGTTTGTTAGAGTGTAAACAAACGAATACTCAATTCGTAAATTATGTAAACAAACAATTTATTATTTTCTAAATAAATCAAATTTGTATCGCAAACTGCCATTATTTTCATTGCACACTGTAAATAAAATCAAATATATAGTGGTATTATTTTTATTTTGTTCACCAGCATTATCACAAGTAATTTTTAAATGTTTTTCACTTTTATTTAATTTTTTAATTCCATCAAAGATCAAACTAAGTGTGCCATTTGGTCCTTTTCCTATAATTTCATTTTCATTAAGAACATAATTAATTTGTTCCCTTACTGCTTCATCTTGAATACCAAATAAATGAACTTTACATGGACTAAGGTAATAAATTTTACTTACTTGTTGATCTGAATGTGGCACATGAACATTTTGGGCTCAATCATAACTATAATGAGCAGTAGCATCAATACTGCAATATGGTGTTTCCCCTTTGAATAATGTTGATCAACTAATTTCCTTTGTTCTTCTGCTAGTTTTGTATTTTTATTATAATAATTTCTTTCTAGTTTGGCCTTGGATAGATGTTCTTTAAATCTTTTAAGTAAATCTTTAGCTTCTTCCTCTTGGCGAGCATTATAATGTAAACCATCTCTAAAATGCTGGCAAGTATCACACAAGTCAGTTCTTGGACTCATAATTTGAATCTCTGGTGTCAATTGATGTCATAATTTTCTGAAGGCATCATATTTTAAGGATTTCAAATTATTATCTTCTTCTAGACCAGCCAGAAAATATCTATGTACTGATTTATAACTCATTTCAGCTGGTAAAAATATAACTGATTGAGTTATTCTATTGTTACTTCTTCCTGGACCTGGTAAGCCATGGACTTCTGCATAATTTTCTAGAAAATTCTTTACTACTTTAGCAATATTTTTATCAATTACCATTTTGGTTTTTCATTGAGGCATCCTTTTAATATTGCCATGAACTCTTGCTAGAAGACCATTGTTTATCAAGTGATTTCTGATATTTTCAAAATAAGACCTGCCAATTCCTAACATATTGAGATAAGTTTCTTGACAAAGCAGTGTATTGTGATCCCAGTGATAGAAGGTTCTTTTATTAGATCGTGTTTTCTTTTTAAGGTGTCTACTGGTGCTTATTGATCCACTATACATGGTTTTAAGTTGAGCCATTAAAAATATGCCTGAAAGGATTCCCTTAATTCTGCAAAATGTTCCTTGGGAATTCTTGAAGAACAACCACAATCACAACCCTTTTTCAAAAAATCAATTGCTTTTTCATATTCATTAGAACCATTGTACTTATTATTACTTTTCATATACACTTATCCCTATATATATATAATTTTATAATGTTATGTTTGCTTTGTAGGTTTTTGAAAATTTTAAATTTTATCAAAATTATAGCATTTTAAAATAATGAACCACCAACACTCATGCCTTTTTATATTATTACTATTATTTTTTTTTTTATTCTAGTTTGTTAAGACTTACAAATTACATGATGGAAATTTAGCACATACAGAAAAAAAAAATGAATTAAAATAGAAATCTAGTGCTAACTCTAGAATAAAATATTTTAAGAAATCATCATATTTACATCCAATGGAATTTTAAGAGAATATTGCTTGATAGAATGTATAATTGGTGGTGTTCTTTCTGCATTTTTTCCTGGTTTTGTTTGGAACTTCTGCTTATTAAATGTTAAATAAATTTCATCTGGAACAACAAAATATAGTTCTGTCTCATTTTCTTCATTCTGAAGTTCATTGAGATGTTTAATTACTTCATTAACCCATTTTGTTTAATGGGATGTGAATTTGAAACTGTCATTTGAAAAAGTAAGTGATTTGAAGATCTAGTTCCTGGAATAAATGCATCAATTTATTCAAATGAGTGTATGGATGGATAACAATAAAAACCTTGATGTTTTGCTGTTATTTCTTCAAGTTTTGAAAACTTAAAAGTTCCTTTAACAGTCAAATTTAATTCATTAATTAAAGAAGCTGATGTTCCATTATTAGATTTAAGTTTTTTCTTTTGTGTATCTCCTTCTCTTAACTCTTCTTCTGACTCTAATAATTTTATTTCATACTTTCCACCAGCTTTTAGCATTTTATGTGCAAAATCTTCAAGCAAATTACCACAGATACCACCTGTAATTGATTCATCTTCACATGCTTTTAAAAAATTACGTAATGAAAATTGTTGTTCATTTAAAAATCTTTGATATATTTTTTCTCTGATGATAGAAGAGGCAAATTGAACTTTGTGTCGTTGAAAAGTTTGAGGATCTACTACAATGTGTACTATCACATGAGAAGTATCATGAGGAGCATCAACCTCACCAACAGATTTTATTATCTTACCAAGGTCACAGGTTTTAATAGCCAAATCTATCTCTTGATAAGCTTCTTCTTTTTTCCATTCAAAAATATAATGAGCTATACCTCCACATAATTCATATAATTCTTTTGCATCATCTATAGACCTAGAAGTATATAACAGATTACAAGCATCTTCTACTTCATCTATTGTCCATGTAGGCATGTAATAGGATTCCCACCTCTGCAGTTTTTTTACAACCTTTAATCTTTTTTTTTTGAGGTGAAGTAAGGACTATTTTTACTGCAGGATAATTTGAAGGTATCATATCATCAACCATGTGTAATGTTGATTCCAGATTTAATACTCTACTAAATTCATCCAGTGTTTTCCCCTCAAAAACTTTATGTTCTTTTGATGAAAAATAAAAAACTCTTCCTGGATAGTTGAAATGTTGATAAATTATTTCTTTTTTTAATTTTGCAAATTGATAAAGTAAGTGAAGACCAAAATATGACTTTCCTATTCCTGGATTACCAGTTATGAAAAATAATGAAGCATTTTCGTTTTTATTTCCATCTTGAATTTCATTTTGGATTTTTTCATAAATCTTATTGTAACACTTTCTAATAGGGTAGGATTGTTTTTTCCAAAATAAAAAGGAAATGCCATTTGGAAGTGAAAAAATGTTGTCTTGCACCAAACTGTTCAAATCAAGTAATGTTTTCCAAAAAAGTAGGGCATTTTCATCAGCTTTTAATTCATGATAGTTATTTCAAAAGAATCCCAAAAATTTTAAATCAATTAATAAGCAAATTTAGCAGTATAAAAAATATATAAAAACAATAAAGATGCTTACCCTCATTAACTAGATGATGAGAGAATAATTTTAAAAATTGATAGATGGTAAGAAAAAAGAAATTAGAATAAAGTATTGAAAAAAAAGCAGGTTAGTTAAAGCTGAAACAATATACAAATAAATAAGTAAAATGAAATGGACAAAAAATAATTTTTTTTTATGCAGTTTGTTCATTACCTTTTCCTCCATATAATAGTTCTTGATATAATACCTTCCAATTCTTCTTTATCTCCTCCAATCTCTTCTCCCCTTCCTTTAATTCTTCCTTCTCTCCTTCATAATCCTCCTTCTCTCTTCCCCTCTTCAGGTCATCCAGTCTTCCTCCCCATTTTTCCTTCCACTGATTTAACTCCTTCTCCGCCTTCACCAATCTATCTCTAACTTCGTCAATTGCCATTTTGTAAAAAAAATTTTTTTATTGATTTAGATCGTAATTGTTATAATTTATAATTTATGCATGATTTCGACCAATGATAAATTAGTGAGCACATGACTTGTAATTTATTTCACAAATTTTTTTTCAATAATAGAAAAAATACATAAATAATTATAAAAATATAAGTTAAAGAATTGTCAGGGCACTTGGATGGAAGGAAAATACTCTGACTCAAAGCTATTACCTGTACTCTGACAAAAATTTAACTTTACTGCTATTATTATTGTTATTGATTGGCATTATGTTAATTAGGGCATCTCACACCCCAACGTGTTGTGCGTGAATTTCAAATTAACCAATCAGATTTTTGTATTCAAACGCCCACCCCAAAATTTAATTATATGGTTGGCTCGGTCTAAAGACCTCCTATTGCTGCGCCATGCGGCCAAATTTCAAAATAGCAATTTTGTAATTCGTTCAAAAATGTAATAAAATTTTTCAAAAAATAGGACTTCACGTGATTTTAGTTTTCTTACTGCCAAATTTAGATACGATAGTCAATATCTAGTCTAAATTTGGTAATATTTTTCCTAAATTTAGAAATGATCATAGTGGACAAATTCCTCGCGAGCATAGTAAAGTACATGTTTTAAAAAAGAATAGAACTCTACAACAAATAATTTTTTTGAGAAAATCTCTCTATTACATTAAAACTAAAGTCATATTCTATCAATTAATAGAGCTATTTTTTTAAAAGGTAGGACAGAAAGTGACTTCTATACTTTTAAAATTTGCCCTAAATTTAGGAGGTTTTTAGACCAAGCTCCATGACAAACAACATTGCAAGTTATATAAAAATTTCCTATGCAAGACCATTCTGCTGCTTTAGAAATGCTTCCACATTACTTCACTTTTATCAACTGCTATAAGTTTTATTATTTGTGAATTTATTAAAAGTCAAATAAGTGATAATGGGTCATTTTGTATAATTTGTCTTTATTCTTTTAATAAATAATATAAATAAAAATGGCGAAATTAATTATCCATCAGTAATTTCCAACCTTTTAAAACTTTAACCTTGCCAACCCTTCTTTCAACTACTTATCCTTTATTATAATTAATTAATAAATAATCATATTAATAATTAATAAATTTCAGTTAATTAACTATTTAATTTACCTTGTTGAAATTATATTTCATAACTTAATAAGCTATCATTACTTAAATTCAATTTAGCAATTTCATCATTTAATATTTTGCTTGTGTGATATGCTAATGGATGTTTGTTGCCGCGAACTGCTAATACTAATATTACCACCACCTATGAACAGTCGGGTCGTCAGGTTCATAACAACAATACTTGCATTATTTCGTTTTCCACATTTGCTAATTTTTAGCAGTAATTTATTTTTGCAGAACTCTTATAATAAATCATATTGCTATACATTTTATAATAGAAAAATATTACAATTTCTTTTTCTTCTTTAATTGAACTTATCTCGAATATTATCAGGTGTTTCTCTTTTTGTATATCCAACAGATCCACCAAGAATTTCAATCAATTCTTTAACTTCTGCTCTCATTGTCTCAAAAGAAAATTTGTTGCTTTCTTGTTTAAATAACTCATCCGGCACAGATTGATTAATAATAATATTATTATTATAGTAATAATAAATTGCGGGATTGCAAAATTTTATGCAATAACAGTGATTTCAAAACAGCAATTATGAAGTTTATTCTTTTTTAAAAAAAGGAAGGTCATAATCATAAAGGTAATATCGATGGTATAATTCAAAGAGTATCAAAACAACATCGAGGAAATTTAAATTAAACTAGTCACAGACAATATTAAGCAAAAGATTGAGGTAAATTATTAAAGTATACAATAAATATTTACTGTATTTAAAATACATTAATATGATGATTATAAATTCATTTAATGCGAATCTGATTCATCAAACAAACAATCTTGAAACGATGCAAGAAATGAATATGATGCAAGATATAGAACAAAGAGAAGAAATGAAATAATGTGAAGTAAAGCAAGAAATTGAAGGAAGTGAAAAAGGTTTTTCCAATAATGGAATTGTTGCTGATTAATTTTTGGGAGGGTGAATTTAATTGATGGTAATAAAAATAATAGGTTATGGTGATTTCTCAAGTTGTGATTACGGACGGTCGGGAATGTCTTAGATGGAAATAATCGATGAAGTTTTATTCAAAATTTTAGAAAATTCTGATTATGCAGATTCTTTCGTAGAATAAAAAATAATCGTTTTGCATTAGAGTTTATTATATGTATTTTTCTTTTTTGATACATAATAATAAAGTTTTATATCAAAGAATACTTTCTCACACGTAAACATTTTCTCTTCCCTTAATTTTATCTTTGTGCATGTGAATTATGCATTGTATATAGTAAGCGGGAAACTATTCTTTAATCAGAATCCCATGAAATAATAAAATGCTTAAATAAAAGCCAGCATAAATATTCATACATATTAATATGTATTAATGTAATGAGAAAGTCCCGGAAGAATTAATGTTATACGATCTGTATGTAATTTGTACTTTTTACGCATTTTTATAGAGTGTGGCCCTAATATCATCAAATATGACCAATAGGTGTGTATCTTTTCCTACTGCTCACGTTCCTATGTTTTCTTTTGTAAAGAAGCAAGGTATACGTATGCTTTTCTTATAATAATAATAAAAATAAACCAACCTTAATAATTTATTCTCTATGAAAGTTGTAATTTTTCTCTTCTCATCAAACTCGTCTATTTGATCTTAAAGTTGAAACAAGATTGAAAAGAAGATTCAATTAGTAAACGTTATTATTTATAGAGCAGCCTTTTATTTGTAGAACAGTTTTTACCATACTTCTATATATATTTATATCCATTTTTTTAAAATGGCTGTTTAATAAATCGTGATACCTATAACAGAGCATCCGAGTATATATTATTATTATACTTTAAACAATTATGAAATTTACATCGCACAACATAAATTAAAATTCATCACATCACAGATGATCGTCAAATCGTGATATAAAACGCCACACATAATTATCTATATATGGTTTCTCACATTAAAAAAAATGGCTAATAGACAAGTTAGGCCTGTTATAACTTCAAGGCCAAGTTCAACAATTTCTGAAGATTTGGTTTATAATTACGCTCTTCGCATTGCTTACTTATCTTATTTAACTGAACCTAAAGTTTCAAAAGCTCCAAAGACTACTCCCCCTCCCGTTCCTGTAAATATCGGTACAACAAGACCGCTTATCGATGTTAATCCAAAACGTCATAATCCTTCAAATTCAACAACATCTAATAAAAACTCTCTAGAAACTATTCATAATCATGTCTTTTCTCATTTTACCAACTTACATGATATATTTAAAGACGATAAGAAAGGCTCAACAAAGAAAATTCCAAAAGAATTGTTAAAGGTACTACAATCAACATTACAATTCATAATTTCTGGCCAAGATCCAAATCCAGTTTATAAAGATCCTTTATTAAAAAAAAACCTTGCCACATTTTATCAAGAAATATCTCAGCCAAGTTTTCGTCATCAACTAAAAACAAATAATAGCAAAGTTGATGATATTGTTTTATTGTTTCTCAAAACTGCCCAGAATGATCTAAAGCAAGCAAAATTACCACCAAATAAAGTTTGGCAACTTGAACTTACTGAACAAGTCAGTATATTTGTTGGCATATTATCAAAATGTTTACAGTCAAAGGAATGTGTTAACTCTTCTACTCCAGAAATATTATCTCGTTTAGAAATTTATCATTCAAAAGTTTCACATCCACAACAACCAATTCAACCATCAAATACTTCTGCCTCAAACAATGTTGATGAAATAGATGAAATGTCACTTGTAAAAACTGTACAATATATTTTTAATGTTCCTATTGACAAGTTAAAATCTGACCTTGAAAAAATAAAAAGTACTTGTGATGAACAGGTATATGGCTGCTGCTAATTTTCACTTTAAAATTTATTTATTAATTGATTAATTAATTTATTTATTAATTTTTATTTTAAATTAAAAATTAAAGGCTGCATTAGAGGATTTAAAAAATTTAATCAACAATGTAAATCGAAATGATCCTTTTCCTGCCTGTAAAGATGATTTTGAATCAAATGATGCTTACAATAATTGGAAGGCTATTGAACTTAAAACTATCTCGGATATAATAGCTACAATGGTTAGATTTAATCCAAACTTAGGTCCAAAGGCTTCCAAAGAGGTTTTGACTACACTTTTAACAAGTAGTTCTAATCCTTCCAAAAGATCTTCTTCTCCAAATTCATTATCTTCAAATCCAAACAGATCAACATATTCTGGTGTTCCTGTCAATCCTGATATTCTTAATGAAAAGTTTGATCAAAAAAACCAACGTTCATCTACACCACCTGGCCAATTTCCTCAGCATTATCAAAATATTTCATTCCAGCCACAACATCCTCAATTTTGCCAACAACAACAGTTATATAGTCAACAACAACAGCCATATCCGCAACATGGTCAACATCAACAACAACCATACCCACCATATAGTCAACAACAACAGCAGCCATACCCACCATATAATCAACAACAACAACAGCCATACCCACCATATAATCAGCAACAGCAGCAGCCATACCCACCATATAATCAACAGCAGCAGCCATACCCACCATATAATCAACCGCAGCAGCAGCAACCATACCCACCATATAATCAACAGCAACAGCAGCAACAACAACAGCTACCATATAATCAACAGCAACCATATAATCAACAGCAACCATATAATCAACAGCAACCATATAATCAACAGCAACCAT